CACTCATGTCAAGGGGTGCTTTTCCTCACCTGGCCTCTCATGACAGTGGGGATGCTGCAATGGTCATAAGTGTGAAAAATGGTCATAAGTCACTTTTTTTCAATGCCATTGTAACTTTGAATGGTCACTAAATGAACTGTTGTAAGTCAAGGATTACCTGTACAAAAATACAAAAAACTTCTTTGCTTGCAAAAAGCTGTCCTAAATACCAATCATTAGATTAAAAATACCTGCAAGCCGGAGTTACAAATCAGGCAGGGTGCCAGAGCACCTTTTGGAATGAAAATAGTTAAAATGCAGTGATAACTATCAAGCAGCCATCTCTTGCTCATAAAGTGAAACCCTTTAGCAGAGAGGTCATTTAAGCTCTCCAGAAAAAGCACACCCAGGAAAAGCAATCCTTAGATTCATTTGCATCACTTAAAAATACCAGCTGGTCTCACTCACGTCACAAGATATCCTAAGGAAATCATCCAGATTTAAGGAAAGGTCACATGCCCCCCAGAAAGGCAATAAAAGAAATCAGTGCCAAGCTTGTATCCTGCCTCTTGGAAGTACAACCCAAAAGGACAATGCCAGATACCACTGAAGCAGTGAAGGAAGACCCCCCTCCCCAGATAGAAAAAGAAACCATGAGGCAGGAAAAAATTCAAACACAATACAAATAATTAAATCACAACAGTAGTTGTTGCTTGTTGAAGCTGAATAGGGAAAATTATCCAATCAGTAAACACAGGATTAAACGTCACCAAGCACAGAATTAACCTTCACCAAAAACCAGTTTTAGACCAAAACTCAGAAAGGGTATGTAAACTCACGTTTGAATGTCAATCTTTCTAGCTAGCCAAGAAGCCTTGCTGAATGTCACTCATCTTGGTTCCCTGTCACTAAAAGAAGTATTTCCTCACAATAGCAGTGTAAAAATCTTAAAACAACCCTTCCCTTTTAAGAAACCCAAAAGCTCCGGAGACAGGAAGTCTAGGCTGTCTGCCAAGAATGTAATAAGGGTGGGGAAAAACAAAAGGAGATTGCTTCTAACTACCGGTTCTCCAAACTGCTTAGAAAGTTAACAAGGGGTTCTATAGGACTGGATAGAACTGGTAGAATCCCACCCCTGTATGTAGTTTGGTAATGAAATGTCTGCAAGAAAACCACCAAGCTCATAGAGCATCCAGAATCCATAAGAAAATATACTTGGATAATTCAGAGTCACCTCAAACCACAAGATGAGTGGCATATACAGTACATTGAATAAATAAATATATAACTAAAAATAATATAAAACAATGCTTTGTGCATGTGATATTTGCTTCCAATATATGGTGGTATCTTGCAAAACACTGGGACTCAAAAACAATGTGTATTTAAAGGGAGTCGATTTGGTTTAGTGCTGTCTGGCTTGGCCGTCCAGGATCTATGTGTGAGAGAGGGGATAGTATCTTGCAAGTGGCAGGTAGGTGGCTGCAAGCATGTGCAGCTCCAGTTGTGTGAGTCACAGGGACACATATCCTCTGCTAGCTTGAGAGGAGCATGTGTGAGGGCAAGTGACTGCCACTCACAGGAGAGGAGCTTTGTGTATGAGGGCAAGCTGCCACTACTCATGCAAGAGGAGATTTGTGTGCAAGTGTAAGATGATGGCTGCTTGCACAAGGGAAGCTTTGCATATGAGGGCAAGCTGCTTGTATAGGGGAGCTTCATGTGTGACTGCCAAGTGGCTGCTGCTTGCACAAGGGGAGCTTTGCACTCAGGGACATGCTCACCCTCTGCTTGCACAGTGCAATTTGGAACAGGGCACGGCCCAGTAGTGGGCCACATCCTGGAGGTTGGGTACTTCTGGTCTAGTGACTATAGCACAAGCTAGAAACCAGGATCACAGACAACTGGTTGAAGAAGACAGATAGCTAAGGAGAAAAAGTATTGGACAGTTGCAACAGGAGTTGATTGACTGGCTTGTCCTGGAGTCTGAGGTCATGAGCTTAGAGAGTGTGACTGACCCAAGGTTACCCAGCCAGCTTTCATGCCTAAGGCAGACTCAAACTCAGTCTGCTGGGTTTTTAGGCAGGTAAGGTAAATGCATTTTAATCATTGCATCAGATTGAACCAGATTGCACCATTTATGCTGGCACAAAACCCGAAAAATGCTACTTTTGAGGCATAGCAAAGCTGTGAGCTGAGGTGGATAGAAGATAACGTGATGCGTTTCTGCCTTTAAAAAATGTTAATGGTCTCTACAGTAACTTGATCATATAGATCACAGGTATCAAACTCCCGGCATCACGTTGCCCTCATGTGACATTTCATGACATTTTCCCACTTCAGAGAGCTGGGGTAAGCATGGCCTGTATGTGGTGCATCCGGCCTGTGTACTGCCAGTTTGACACTCCTGATATAAATCAGATCCTTCATCACTGAATATAAATATACATAAATAAAACACTACTGGAATTGGGAGTAGTTCCTCAAGCAAACAAGAATATCTTCCCAAGACTGCTGATTAAGAGCATCTCTACAGCAACATTTTTAATATTAACATTCGTTAACATCTACTCTCTTTTGTGCTTTGGGGGATTTTTCTTTGGGTTGTTTGTTCTTTTTACATTTTAATAATATCTTTTTATATGTTTATTGTTTTAATTAATTATTGTACACATGAAAATAAATAAACATTTTTCAACACTTTGGGATCGATTCTGGATCTTATTGGACCCATTATGTCTGCTTTTAGAGCTGAGGCAATTCATTTTTGACTCTGCTCTGTTGTATTTCAAATTGCAGCAAGGCTGATAGTTTCTTTTAGATTACTACATATGGATGATCTGTTTTCACATTGATGGGAATTCTTGCTTCATCCTGCCCCAAACCTAAGTTCAAACAAGTCATTGCTCCAGCTCCCAAGAACATTCATGTTCCTGTAATTTGTTTCATGAACAAGATTTATCTGCTAATATGTACAGTATTTATTTTCTCTTTGGGGCACATTGAAATTACAATTGAGTCACAACTTTTGTAGAGTCTCTGGAGATTGTACCTAAAGTTCTGCTTTATAGTATAAGAAAATAACTTGAATATGCTGATTATCTGCTAACAAGTTGGTGTCAACTTTTAGTGATTACATAGATTTTCTTTGTGATGCTCTGCCCTTAAACTGTACTTTTAGGCCTTCCAGTATTACACCCATTACCACCGTGACTGAATCCATCTATCTTCGAACTGGTTGTCAGCTCCTTGTCTTTCTTTTCACCTTTCCCATCATTAGCACCTTCTCTAGGGAGTTAGGTTTTCACATACAATCAGCTAATTTGAGACAGGTCATTTATGCTTTGAGTGAGAAATCTGGGTAGACTTATTCAATGGTCTATTTTTTTGTTTTTCTTGGCTACTCACAGTAATATTTTCCAACACCAATGGTTAAAACTATACATATTCTTCTTGTCCAACTTCTTCAAAAATCCAACTTTTGCTTCCATAGTGTATTTATTGTGAATACAATTTCTTGCAATGTTCTGTTCTTTGTAAATATATATTTACATGAACATGTATGTATATATGTATGTATGTATGCATGCATAATATCTTACCCCTTGGAATATCTTTTCCAAGAACTTTATGGATGTTCTGCCAAGTGCCAGTCTACGGGATATTTCGGGACTGCTTGTTTTATTTCACTGATGTTTGATCTGAAAGGAAGAAGCTACTCAGTATCATTTCATCCATCATTTCAATATCTTTTCCGATTCTATAACTTCTATATTATGAAATGTATCAGTCCAGTTTGAAATAGTTACTATAAAGCATAGTTCTCCTGGTTAGTTGTTTGGGAAAATGCTTGAATGTCAACAGTCATATTTCCCATACATTCTAAGTGCTGCAATTTCAACAAATGTAAACAAGTATAAAATGAATCATTTTACCATGAAAAACACAACCTTCACCCTTATAGTAATGAGATTTTTGTTCGGAATAAGTAAGCAAGACATTGGTCTGTAGTCTTAGTGGACAACTCAATTAGAATGTCAATCCAGTGTGCAACTGACATAAAAATGGAAAAAATCATGTTTGGAATCTTAGAAAAGGAATTGAAAATGCCATTATATAAACCTATAGGAGATGATAGATAGATAGATAGATAGATAGATAGATAGATAGATAGATAGATAGATAGATAGATAGATGGCACGCAGTGAGGAGAGGATAAGGGAGAGACATGATCTACTTGGGAGGAGAGGGCCTTGATCCTCTTCATGGGCTGCAGCTGTGACAACTGAATAAGAGGATGGACCTGCGTACTGGCGAATGCTGGAAACAAAGTGTGGAAATATCTCTAGTTTATAGTTCCTCTCTGAGTTTGGCGTCCTTCCCAGCATGTGTTATCTGTGGACATCCTCCAGCCCTTATCTTGCCTGGTTTGTGTTACTTTTTTCCTTCTTCATATAACTGTTTATGTGGGAGTTTTTTTGTCTTCCATCAAAGATATTTGGAGCTTGGAAGCAAAGTGAAGGAATAAAAGGAGCTTCACCTATTTTCTGTGACTGTGTTTGTTCTGTATCCCACCTGGGTCATCACTCTGCTACTATTATATTGGCATATTATTCCACATTAAATAAGTTGTAATATTTTACAGAGAGATGGGTTAAAGAATTGAAGCTCCAGTCCCACAGATGTATTTAGCTATTGTTTTAGTTCAATACCTAATAAAAAGAACTGGATGGAAGAAAAAAAAATCATTAAGGTGGTACTATGTTTTTAGCTGAATAAATGACAAAATGGAGGAAACTTTGTTGTAATATAATTGCAGAATGAGTTCCAACCAGATGTGAAATTCAGGCTTGGGACTTGGCTTCAGAGAAAAAGAGAGACGTGCTCTAATTTATGTGAAATTTACAAAATCTGTTATTTAACGTGATGACATGAAACTTTACAAAATGTGAGGATATAATTAATATTCAGACTGATCTATAACAGTTTAATCCATTCTGGTAATTACTGTGCTTTGCTTGTAGGTTGTTTATAAAAACAATGATGTAAGACTGGAATTGTCTCGACTGGCCAAACAAGGAGATCCTAAGATGAAGATCCATGGTATCGTGGCATTTAAATGTGAAAATGTGGCAACCTTGGATCCAATCACTTTTGAAACACCAGAATCCTTTATTTCTTTGCCTAAATGGAATGCCAAAAAAACAGGCTCAATTTCCTTTGACTTTCGCACTACTGAACCCAATGGGCTGATTCTCTTCAGCCATGGCAAACCACGACATCAGAAAGATGCCAAACATCCACAAATGGTTAAAGTTGACTTCTTTGCCATTGAAATGCTTGATGGGCACCTCTACCTGCTTTTAGACATGGGATCTGGAACAATTAAAATAAAAGCTTTGCAGAAAAAAGTGAATGATGGAGAGTGGTACCATGTTGACTTTCAAAGAGATGGACGATCTGGTAAGTTTTGACAAAAATGCTCATGAACTTTAAATCTTCTATATAGCAGGGGTATCAAACTCACATTGTCACGGTGGAATCATGTGATGTATTGGGACTTTTTTATCCTTTGCTAAACCAAGCATGTGTGTGGCTAGCACGTGATGCATCTGGCCCATGGGCCAGGAGTTTGACAGCCCTGCTCTATAGTATAAAAAATGCAAGAGAAAATAATGCGTATTTAATATCACTCTGGAGGAGCAAAGCAATTATATTATGAAATATTCATCTTTTTGTCTTCCTGAACAAGTTGGAAAGTTTGAACAGTACTCAGCAGATAATCAAATGATATTTATTTTGTAAGTATTTTCAGTAAATAGGAAATGTAGTTCTCATATACTGCACCAACACAAAAAAGTTATGGAGAATAATATAAAAATAATAATTAATAAACAACACAAATAACTTGTGAACCATTAGTATCCTTTACATCACACATTAAATGATTTCATTTATCTTCAGGCACAGAATTGATCCATTAGTGGTTATACACTATTCATATTTTTTCAAAACTTTGTTGAAAAAGAAATTATCAATGAACAATTGGCACTGAATGAATCATAATGCATTAAGGAAATGCATCTATATATGAATAAAACATTAGAAATCATTGGTGTAATTGTATGTATGATAAAATACAGTTACATTTTGATTGCTGTCAGTTGTACTATTAAGTTCTTCATATATTTTATAGATTAATCTCTGCTGAGGAAAAAAAAATCAAATCAGAATTGAATCAGAGTTTCAGGAGAATAGTTTTCCACAACAAAATATTACATTATGAGATATGCACAACTTATTTTGTGGGATTTTTCAACTAAAATGTTATCAGAACAAGTAAAATAGCACATAAATTTTACACCTAAGCTTTCCACACTTCTTGGCACATCAGTTTTCTACGGAAGAAAAAAGTATAACTGGAGAAATGCCAACAGGTGGATATAGTTTGTTCATGGAATGGCTGTGTAACTTGTTTGATTCCTAGCAACTGGATGAATGTTAATATTCTCTTTTACTAAGAGAAAATAATCAATAAACAGGAAACACTCCATATTAAGTTTGGCTGGGAAGATGCTTGGAAGAATTTTCATGAAAATGACAATAATGAGCAAAACTTAGGAAGACCAATGTAATTTCATGCTAGGCAGGAGGTGTACAGGTAGAATTTTAGCTCTTCTGCAAGGCAATGAAAAATACATGAATGTGAAAGAAGGTTTACTGCATCTTTGTAGGTTTGGAGAAATATGTTATAAAGTGAATAGGCTTGAATTATGAAACTTTATGGAGTTGAAGGCTGGTTGCAAAATGCAATCACTGAAATATATAGAGGAAAGCAATGTGTGAAAATAAATGGAATGCTTAGTGAATATTTCATTATTGATCAAGGTGTAAAATAAACAATTTCTTGGTTGTTCAGTACATTTAACATTTAGATATATTGGGTTTTTTAATGAATTTATGGATTAATGTGTAAGGAATGCTCGTGATATTAGAAATGTGTTGGTTGGGAGTATGGATGTATATACATATTTGTATGCAGAACAAGCTGAGAACAAAAATATAATTAATATTTGTTTGTATGATGGAATAAGGATCAGAAAATTAGTTATTAAAAATTAAAGCAAAAAGTGAGTGAAGAATTATAAATTATATATACATTTGTGGGGGGGAGAGATAGATAAAATATGCATTTACATTGTTCCTTACAGATATACACTGTATTTATTAAATGAACCCTTGGATTCAACTTTGACCTGAAACTAAAAGGAACTTATATTGCAGGGAATGTTCAAATATACACTGTATTTATTAAATGAACCCTTGGATTCAACTTTGACATGAAACTAAAAGAAACTTATCATATTGCAGGGAATGTTCTATTATACTATAAAATTTAAGCCATCCAGAATCATTTAGTTGAGTTGGGTAGCTACAGAAATTGATTGGTTGAATAAATGAATGAATTTTATGTACCATAATGTTCATAGTTCTGCCTGTGGTAAATAATTCATTTTTCACATATCTTGGAGAAATGTTTCCTAAAGAGGTGAAATGATAGTGGTGTGATATAATTGCAAAACAAATACATGTAAGAAGAGTGAAAAAATTGAGAGGAATAGAAGATCAGGAAAGTTGTGGTTGAATAAAGTTGATGAGATCCTGGAAAAGAGAACTCAGAAGTTTTTTGTTTTTTTAAAAAAAACAAAAGACAATATATAAAGCAGTCTATAGAGCAGCGGTGGGATTCTACTGGTTCGGACCGGTTCTATAGAACTGGTTATGATTCTGCGCAGTTCAGAGAACTGGCAAATCATGCCCCTGGGTGGCCCCTCCCCTCTCTACCCACCCCTCCCCTCTCTACCCACCCCTCCTCTCCCTGCCCAGTCAGTCCTTATTGCACATGCGCAACATCGCACACATGCCCAACATTGCTGACTGAATTCTCTCCTGCCCAGTCACTCCTTAAGGTATTTCTTTTTTTCCCCTCCCAATGATCAGCTGTTCCGATGATCAGCTGTTCTGGGATCCCCCTTGCTGTCTTATTGCTTCATCCAGGAGGCTTCCCTGAGGCCCACAAGGCAAAAAAACGGGGGCGGGGGGCTGCAAAAAAGAAAAAGAAAAAAAGAAGCCATGCCCGCTTGGCCACACCCACCTAGCCACACCCACAGAACCAGTTGTTAAAAAATTTGAATCCCACCCTTCTATAGATGTAGTGGAAGCAAAAATGATTTGCAAAAATTGTAAGTTAAGGAGTCATATAGTAAATTGTGTTAAAGTAAGTCTTCCTATTTCTTATTCCCTTTTCTATTACATAAAACTGCTTACCTGGAAGGGAATAGTATAGTAGCTATGAATGTGTATATGTTTAAATTCTCACATTCACTGGAAATTACTTTCAAGGGCTGCTATTTAACTTCTGAAGGAAAAGTTACTAGCTTATTGGATTATATTCTTCTCCGTTTACCTGGTTTTTCTTTTTAGTGTGAAGACAAGTCCTGTATTATATTTTGGTTTATGAGTGTCTCTGGGTTAATATAACTTCAGGAAGTTTTAGGCATTTTATTAAAAATAGTAAAAGTTAAAAAAAAAAACACATGAGAGCCACAGTGGCACAGTGGTTAGAATGCAGTACTGCAGGCTACCTCTACTGACTGCTGGCTGACTGCAATTTGGCAGTTTGAATCTCACCAGGTCAAGGTTGACTTAGCCTTCCATCCTTCCGAGTTCAGTAAAACGAGAACCCAGATTGTTGGGGGTAGTATGCTGATTCTGTAAACCACTTAGAGAGGGTTGTAAAGCACTGTGAAGCTATATATAAGTCTAAATGCTCTTGCTATTGCTCTTTACAGACTTCAGGAATTGCTCATTGCTGATTTCCGTATGCAAAATCTCAGGGGCAAAGAGATTGTTTTCTGCTAATATGAAATGCCAGAAGAAGCAGCAAACATCACTGCCTTGCTCAGGTTCTGAATCGAAAAAATCTGCAAAGAAAAGAAAAGACAAGAACCCAGAAATTTTACACTAAGTAGAATGGCTTGTCCAACGAGCAAGATAAGGCAAAACTGATAAAACATTTGCCAGTTTCATCCCCCTTCCTCTTGTCTGAGCTACTGAAAGAGTTCTTCAAATACTTCAAGCTAGCATATCTCTTGCAGGACCTTCAGCGGTCTGAATGACACTGCAAGTGAGACAAATAGAAATCAGCAAATAAAAATCAGCATAATAGGAAATAGTTCCAAAAGAGTTATCAGTTTGAATGGTCATGTCTAAGTGACTTTATTGAGATGAAACTTTTATTGGACCAGATATAAAGGATCTGATTTAAGTTAACATTTACCGACAGAATGTCACATTCTATAAAAATTTAGAAAGTTACATGATTGTGGGTATGGATCTCTGTGTTACCTTTTGGGGGGAAAATAATAGGCAGTCTTATTATCAGAATCATAGATATTAGTACATATTATTTTCCAAAGTACACCTTATTATTTAAAAGTATATAAGTAATAAAGCTGTCAGAGAGTAAAAGCCCTATATATGAATCTTAAGCCTATCCATTTCATATGTGGAATCTTACTGTCTGCTTCCTCTATTCACACATCAACAACATTTAGTGCCTTATTTTTAAGTCTTTGGTTTATCTCACCATGGATTGGCTTTCCAGCCAAAATGCAAAACAAGACATAAATGGAAATGTTATCAATTTCATTTTCATCTCACTGCAGTCATTTTGCTTGAATCTGAAACTATAGGTAATTTCTCTGAACAAGTTGGTATTAAACTAGATTTGGTTACAAGAAACTTGATTTGTTTCAGATGAAGCAACAAATTGCAGTTAATCACAAATGGAAACATGCTCATTTATAAGTTGTAAGCTGTTTGGTGACTGACTGGTTATTCTACTAGCGTAGTAAGGAAAAGGACATTCACTACTAAGCAGCCAAAGTAAGCCATCCCTCCCCTTCTTGCTTCTGCTGCAGTATGGTGATAGATAGTGGAAATGCTAATGACTGTCAGATGAGCAATGGAAGAGGGACAATTCAGACAAAAGTGGCATCTTAACAGAGCTGATACTGTCCCTATTTCCTTTCATTTCCTCTGCTACTGCCTGATATAATGTTTCTGCCAAGTCTCAGTTTTAGAAAACAGACTTGTTAAAATGAAATTGCTGAGATAATGAATATAATTGAAGAGGCTCATTAACTCACACCTATGGGAAATGTTTGTCTGTTGCTGCATTGCCAACCTTGCAGGTAAAGCACTGAGGAGGAGGCGAAAATGAGAGGTTGGAAATCCCAGAAAAGCATTCAGCAAAGCTTTGCTGTCTGTGGCTTTTGCAACCTGTCAAAATTGCACTAATAATTGTGTTATGAGGCTGCTTGAGCACTTTCATGTTTTGTTAAGCTCTTCAGAATGTTAAAAGAAAAAATAAGGAAGCCCTTCACAAGGATTTCATTAAC